TCATCTAACCCTAACACTAACCCTAACTTAGGCCGACCAATTTATCATGTGATGCAGTGATTACTGGGTTAACTGTTTTTTTTTGAGGACTATAAATTAATAATTATGTTCTTTTGAGAACATTGTATATAAATCTATGTTCTCACTGAGAACACAATATTTAACAAAATTGTTCTCAAATAAGAGAACATCTCTTAAGTTAAAATGTTCTCAAAAATATTTTTATGTTCTCTGAGAACAGTAAGAACATTGAATTTCACACACTGGTTGTAACTACATTATAAAACTCCATTTACATCCTAATAAAACATTCCCCAGGCCAAAGAGGTCCTTTAATAACAAAAAAAATCAAATTTTTACTTAAACTTAATTATTTTAAAAACTGTTGCATAGAATTTTGTAATCTTTTTTTTATTTAAAAGATATAGTTTAAAAGAAATAGTTTAAAAGAATTTATATTTTAATTTTTAGCTCTATATCCTACATATTTAGCTTTGTACAAATTCTTACAATAATATATCCCTCACTATATATTTTAGTATTAAAGTAATTAATCTCATTGGTCTTAAAAACTTTTTATTAGAGTATAGATAATGTTTATATATAATTACAATAATAATATATCAAACCACATATGCACTTTTGGTGTCTAATTTAAGTAGTCTGTCTGAAGTATTAGTGCTATGTTAAAAGTTTCATACTATAGTCATCCTCCCCTATAATCACACAATTGGGCACATACTACTGTAGTGATTGTAAAGAAGTGTGACTTTACAAAGGTTACCTCTATATAATCACAGCTTATATTAAAAACAAATAGTGTGACTTAATAGAAGTAAAAATAAAAAATGTTATATAGCTATTACTATAAATTTTTAATAATGGCTGGAATCTGAAAAGTTTTTTATTAGGGGTATTATAAAACTTTTTTTTATTAAGTAATCTTTTCTTTGAATTTCTAATAAAAGTTGTAAAGAAGGTCTTTGCGGTTCTAATGATAGTAAAATCGCTAAAATTGACCCAGTACATCACAAGATATTAACGATTTACGTTTCACGATAATATAAAATTTTCTTTGCCGATTTACAATATATGATCGTGAAACGTAAATCTCATGAAATACTGGATCAATTTTAGCGATTTTACCATCATTAGAACCGCAAAGACCTTCTCTACAACTTTTATTAGAAAGTCAATGAAAGATTACTTAATAAAAAAAAGTTTTATAATACCCCTAATGAAAAACTTTTCAGATTCCAGCCACTATTAAAAATTTATATATAATGCCCGCCAATTTTTAATATGTATGATGCTTATATGAGTCTTATACCCTTTAATGGCGAACTACCTCTTAATTTATTTGTTTGCTTTAATTTTTATCAAAACTATCGATCGCTATTATTTTAAATGTGAAATTTGCTTGTCAGTGTCACAGGCTAAAATAACATCATTGATACAATAAGCCCCGAAGGCTTAAACAATTTGTAGCATACCTCGGCCGATAGAAATAAAGCCTCTATACAATAAGATGAGTTATGTCCAAGCCCATTAGTCCTTTAACGTTATATAAAGGACGTAACTTGGTTAAGATTGGTTACGACACTAATGTGCAAGGTAGGGGCACATAAACCCACTAACAATAATAATTCCTCTTATTATATTATTACCCAAATCACCAACATCATGCCTCTGGAAGTTGCCTTATATTATATAAAGTCTATATTTTTGAGTATAGATTATCGACCCGTACGAATCACCCCATAACAATGGTCAATACAACCTTTCATTCTATATTAGTTTTACATTTGTTACGTACAATATTGTCACTATGTAAACCCCCATTGAATAAGTTTTTGCGAATGAATTATTTGAAGAACCAGAATCCTGCCTTGAGTTTTTAATTAATCTTATATTTCTTGTAAGTTTTTTGCATTTTAATGAATAACCTTTTAATTGGTCAACAAATCAACAGTCTTCGCAATAATTACATTTGACGGGGTGTTGTATGATCATGTTTATCAAGTTCAGCAAGTTTAAACAGATTTCTTTTGACAAGGACCTTCCACAAATATGAGAAATTATTTTTTATTCGATTTTTTTTTTTTGCATTTTGTAATCATAATATTATACACCTAAGTTACGCAGTCGGAATAATCAAACATGATTTTTAAGATTGTGTTTTATACATTTGCCATCCCTAGTGGTAACTATTCGGAAGTGACGTGCAACTAACTAACAAAATAACACAAATTGTAGGCTTCGATTGAGACGGGACAAGATAAGTACATTCTTTTATTACCTGTTGAATTCTGATTATATTAATGCATCAATTCAATACTATTCTTTCTCTTCTCTTTCAGGCGCACTGCGGCGGGACGAATATTAACCCGATCATTCATGATATCATGTGATATCTGAAATGACGACTTAAATAACGGAGATTGAATCTCGTTCGATAGTGACATACTGTAGATCAGGGTTTAATCAATTTAAGGTCTTTATATAAAGATGATTCTTCAGTAACAACTAATTCTTTTACTTTCTCTTTCTAACTATCGGATCAAGGTACTTTACAGTAAATCGCAAGGACAAGAGCTACGACAATATATAATTTATTTCAAAGTGTTCACACTTCTGGCCCCTTTTGAAGTTATAATTCAATAAGTTGGAACGAGGAGGTAACATTTTTATATTTCTACACTATTAGCATATACATAATGGATATATTCGCTAAGCTACTATAATCTCTAAATTGTTACAGGCATTATATGTATGGTAATAAGTTTCTTCAGGACAAAAGGAAATAAAATAAAAAATGAAGCGGGCCATTCTTGAGCTTTTCACAAGCATTTGATATAACTCATAAATTCCGACTAACAGATATATTTAATGAATAAAACCTAATTTAAAAATATAGCTTATCAAAAAATTTAAAAAAAATTCAAAATCTTATTTACGGCTTTGATACTATAAGCACTATAAAATATTTAGTAATTTTATATTTGAATTGCTAAAACACAAAAATAATGATACGTATGTACGTACATGTATCTTAATCATCATAATCCTGTAGACTATCTTGTGGCATAAAAAAATTACTAATCGAAGTTTGGCGTTTAGATTCATTATATTTTTGGTTTACTAAAGCTAAATATTTCTGAAAAATTTTAAGATCTTCAGCTTTAAAACCAGGATCAGTTTGTTGTTCAAAAAAACCTATAAACTTATTTAGACCCATTAATCCTTCTAATATTGAAATTTCTGGTTCTTCTTCATCCGAATCATCAGGATCTCCATGTTCATATTGATTCGCTTCATCCAATACAACTTCGATAATTTCAGAATCATCAAGCATTTCCTCAGTTAAGATATGCAAATTGTTAAGATCTAAATATGCATTTAATTGGTTTTCAATCTCCGGATCTGGATCTTGAGAAGTTAAATCCACCACTAACATGTCGGTATCTTGTTCTTGCTGCTCTAATATTGTATCTTGATTATGAGCGGCAAATTCAATTTCTTCGTGAGAAACTAATGGCAAAATTCCGGTCTTATTCCAACAATTGATAATCACTGAATTTTCAACGGCATCCCAAGACTCAGATGCATAGTAAATAGCATCCTTAATATTTATCTTATTTCTAATTAAAAATTAAAAATATAATTAGAGATAAAATTTAAATATAATTAGAAATAAAACTTATATAGTTAAGGCAAGTTCTTTATTTTACTTTTTTAAATCTTCATTATTTTCAAACTGTGCTAGTATATGT